GCAGGAGATGTTCTCTGTGACAACAAAGTGAGAGCACAGGCCAGATTCTTTCAAAACAGACAAATCTCAAAATTATGCCCCTGTTTCCTGAAATGCCTTGACATGCCTAGTGAAGGTTCATAGCTTCATCCAGCAAGGGCAGTAATGAAGCCATGAGCGCCAACACTGCCTGTGCCAACCATGCAGTCAGGCCCTCAGCTCTTCCCCTCAGAGCCCTGGCAGCTGGCCTCTGGCTTGCTCTTGGGCTTATGAGTTGGAGGGCAGGGTGGGCTGGGTTAGCTTCGTGCCCTGTTGTCTGAGATGACCACAATAAAGAGTGATTTTTGAATAGGAGCTCTGCTTCGTTCTGCATTTTGATCACTTTGTGTTTTTGTCTGCAGTCCCCACCCAAAGGTGCCACCATCCCCTACCGTCCCAAACCTGCCTCTGCACCTATCATTTTTGCAGGTGGCCAGGTAAGAGCAGACACCATTTTGGCTTCAGCTGGAAACCACACCGTCTTGGCCCAACCACAGCCAGCGCCTGTTAGTTTTCAACTTTTACTCTTTTTTGCCTGGTATAGTATTCGTTTACTCTGTGTGCTTACAGTTTGCAGGAAAGGAGAACACTGCATTGCAAACTTGATACAAAATTGTGTTGACTGATACTTTACCAAAATCTAAAATTAACTTCTGTACTTGAGGTGTCCAAATCAGATGCTCCACAAGTGGGACGAAGCTGAGGGTTGTTTTTTTCACTCTTAACTTGCAGCTCAACTAGCAGTATAAGGAATTTTGTCAGTTTTCAGAGATTATCAAACAGCAGGAGGTCTCTGTTCATGAAAGGTGTAATTTTTCTCTCATAGTTTTCATATTCGTTAGGACCAAATAGAGTGCTTTGCATTAAAAAGTTTACACACACAATTTCTGCTGCTTATGGTTCTCAGGACCACGTAGCAATAGGGTTCAGAGGTTAGAGGAACTGCATACATAAAAGTGTAGATGTTCCCAACCATGCCTGATTGATAACACAAGAACAGCATTCCTGTTTCTCTTTTATATTGTGGAGTTTTGATGATTCCTCCACTTCATCATAAGCTATATCAGTCAGTGTTCTTATCTGGCTTTAAAAGCCTTTGTACAACATGAGTGTTCCTAGTCTTTTGATAATGCTCTGAAATGGATCTGCAACATGGTGGGAATTTGCTCTGCCATCACCTGTTGCAGGGGGAATGCAGTTCCAGGAACTGATGAGCCAGCCATGAACACAGCTGGCACAGACCCTGAGAAGCCATAGGAGGCTCACAGGGGGACCCGTATAGCCAAGAGGCTGAGAGCAGCACTGCCCAGATAAGCGCACTGGTGGAGAAGTAAGTGGGATTCTCAAAGCCCTGCCCAACTCAAGGGGAAATTTGATCTCCTAAATCTGGCCTTGAGGAACGCAGCCATCTCTCTGCTCTGAACTCAGGCCTGTGACGCCTCTCTGGCAGTAAGGCACCCCTACTCAGCCAGATCTTTTCCCCAAGAAGACAGCAAGGCCTTTTTTTAAGTAGTTACCCAGAGGAAAGAGCCTGAATGGTGGAACACCTGCAGGCAGGTCTCCCCTTCCATCCCCTTAGCCCAGCCCAGGTCATCACCCTGTGGTGGGGTGTGGGCTGTGTGTCACCCCAGTAGGCAAGGAGGTCATATGAGAAGCTGGACATGGGGTTCCTCATGGGGCAGAGGGCACAAGGTGCTGCTGGTCTTGTTCATGGTATGATGACCCACACCACCACAATCTGCCTGTTTGTAATGAAGCTCCTGCACACCAGAAGTGTACACCTTTGCTTCTGACAGGCTCTTGTAGTGAGCTTTCTCTGAATTTTTGTCTCAGAGTTTTACCTTCTATTCTGTAATGGTACATTCTAATGTATATCCAGATTATCATAGTCTGCACACAGAAGTTTTCAGTTCCTGGTGTTCAAACCTACCACTCTTTCTTCAGTATAAGAAATCTGCTTCCTTGGTGACCAAAGTTAAACTGACATCTAAAATCATTTGCCAGGAATTGGTCTATGACGGAAAGTTCAGAAAAATTTACTCCATATATAAGTTTACACTGCAGTGCTTTCCTTTAAGAAATGTGTGTGTATATGTGCAGCAGCCCATGTTGCCAGTATTGTAATTGCCACTGCCCTTAAAGACTGTCTCTCAGTCTGATTACTCTAAAGTATTGAAACTGTTTGCTAGACTGCTTTGAGCAGTTTGTATAAATAATTGAAAATGTCCTGTTTTAAGGTCTAATAGCTCTTGCCATCTTCAGTTTTATCAGTTAAAAAAGTGTTCTCACTTTTCTAATGCAGCCTTGCTGATGTGGGGAAAAGTGTAAGAGACAGACAAGTCCTGTGTGCTTTGAATTTCTGTGTGCTCTGACTAACCACGTTTTCAAAGAAAATCCTCAAGGTGTGTTTGGGTTTCAGTATGGAAAGACACTTGAATGAGGTTTCATATGTGGAGATTAATATTGGAAATAAAATTTTACCAGCAGTGTTAATTCTATCCAACTGTTTGGCTGCACTATCAGAAGTTATTTTTCCATTCTAAATTACATCATGGCTATCTTGAAACTCTTTGGTTTGTTTAATGCTTTCATATCAAGCAACACCAGCAAAATAAAATTTTTCGTTTTCCTTAAATTGGAGTTCTTCTGCTTTAAGTAGTACTTTAATTCTCTTGTGCTTCTTTGATACTGTATCATGTGACAGAACTAAAAGCACTCTGAGCACTGTCCTGCCCTGGTCTGCCCCTTGCCAGTATTTACCATATGCAGTAGTTTAAAAAAAAAACAAACAATTAATCCAGTACTCCTGCCTGATAGAAACAAATTGGAAATTTCTAGCCACCGTACTACATTATTGTTTAGATGGGTACTCACAGCATACAGCTTTGCTTTATGTCTCATAGCAGTTTTATGGTTTAAATTGAAGAAGATTGGTAGACCAGGTCATTCCTG